ACCTTAACCTAGCTTCTGATAGCCAACTCCATACCTAGGCCGGACAAAGACGATAACGCTGAAATATTAAACTTGGTTACTTGGGATATCAACGTGGACCTAGCTTGTGATAGCCAACTCCATACCAAGGAAGAACAAAGACGTTTAGGATAACGCTGAAACATTAGACTCGGTAGCTTGGGATAGTAACGTGGACCCGGCTTGGGATAGTCAGCTCCACACCAAGGATGAACGAAGACATTTGGAATAACGTTGTAACATTGGACTCGGTTGCTTGGGATAGCAACATAGACCTGTCTTGTGATAGTCCACACCAAGGACGAATGAAGTTGTTTGGGATAATGACTCAATACTGAACTCCGTTGCACAAATTACAACACTGAAAGCGTTTGGGACAACGTAGCAACAAGGTATGGACAACAATCTCTTCTCAATTGCTTGTGATAGCAAATTTCATCTCATCTGGTTTGTAACAACTATAGAACAGTACTGTAAGTTTGAACATGGAAGGGTAGGAAGTCGTTAAGATATATTTTTCCTTATTACCAGTTAGAGATTAGGTATCTTATGCGAGGTTAGCGTTACATTTTGCTTGTGACGGCAAATTCCATCTGGTTTGTGATAACCTTGGAACAGCATAATAAGATTGCACATTACAGTTTAAGAAGCCGCCGAAGTACCATTTTTCATTAGTAACAAATAGAGATTAGGATCATCTGTGCGAGACTAGCATTACATTTTGTTTGAGATAGCAAATTCCATCTGTTTTGTGAGAGCAGTGTAGCAATATAGCATCTTTCATTTATAGCAGATAAAAATTGGATACCTACATTTATGTGAGACTAGCGGTACATTTTGTTTGGGATAGCAAAGTCCATCTGGTTTTTGATAGCAATGTAGCAATATAGCATTTTTCATTTATAACAGATAAAAATTGAGTAGATCTATGTGAGACTAGCGGTACATTTTACTTGGGATAGCCAATTCCATCTAGTATGTGATAACTATGGAACAATATTGTAGGGATGCACACGAAAAGTTAGGAAGAAGCCGAAGTACCATTTTTCATTAATGAACGACAGAGATTAGGTACATCTATACGAGACTAGCGTTACATTTTGCTTGTGATAGCAAATTCCACGTGGTTTGTCATAACCAACTAACAGGTGTGTAATTATGAACATGTCAGGTTAGAAAACCGCCGATGTATATCTTTTTCTTATCACCAGATAAAGAATAGGCACCTTTTGCGCGGTTAGCGTCACATTTTGCCTGTGATAGCAGATTTCATCTGGTTGGTGATTACCTTGGAACATCTTTGTAAGAATGCACATGACAGTTTAGGAAACCACTAAAGTACCATTTTTCATTAATAACAGATAGAGATTAGGGAGGAAGGTAGGGGAAAGGCACGGGTGCTGCTTTCCTTCGTTGCGTGTGAGACTAATGAATGTCAGTTATTACCCTGTGTCATTGAAGAAGGGCTCAGAGCTGGGGCACTGCTGTCCAGTTTCCGGCAGATGGCAAGAAGACTCCCACTTGTTAAAAGAAAGGAGGCTGACAAGATCGTAGACAGCATGACCAACGAGGGAATCGTTGAACCGTCCAAAAGTCCATGGGCGTCACCGCTGGTTTTGGTTAAAAAGAAAGATGGTTCAACCAGATCTTGTGTGGACTACCGAATGTTATATAACGTGACCAAGAATGACAGCTATCCTCTACCGCATAAATATTTCCCACCCTAGATCTAAAAAGCGTATAGTGGTAAGTAGAACTGGCTCCTGAAGATCGGGAGAAGACAGCATTCACGGTGGGCACTGGATTATGGTAGTTTAATGTGTGCAATTCTCCTGCCTCCCTTGAAAGGCTGATGGATACAATTCTAAGAGGACTATCCTGGAAAACGTGTCTGGTTAACCTTGATGATATTATTGTGGTGGGAAAATCATTTGGGGACCACGTGAAGAAGCTAGAGGAAGTTTTCTTAAGGCTGCGAGGTTCTGGCTTGGAATTAAGCCCAAAGAAATGCCACATGTTTCAAAGAGCTGTGCAGTATCTTAGCCATGTTGTTTCCAGTCAGAGAGTCGCGGTTGACAGAGAGAAAATCCAGTCTGTAAAAGAATGACCAGTTCTGAAGGAAAAAACGTGAGCTACACAGCTTCCTAAGATTGTGTACATATTACCGACGTTACTTGGAAGGATTTGCTAACATCGGAAAGCCATTTACCTGGCTGACAGAAGGGGAACGCAAATTCCAATGGGATCAGGATTGCCAACAAGCTTTTACCCACTTGAAAGAAGCTTTAACAAGCCCCACTATCCTCAGCTATCCACTGTATTAGACACTGTTGCTAGCAATGTGGGCATAGGTGCTGTATTATCCCAAGTCCAGGAAGGCAAAGAAGAAGCGGTCATTGGTTATTTAAGCAAAACACTGTCCAAACTAGACCGTAACTATTGCGTTACTCGAAGGAATTTGCTGGCATCCTAAAGGCAATGGAACATTTCTACAAATACCTCTATAGCAGAAAATTTTTACTCCGGACCGACCACGCAGCTTTAAAATGGCTTCTCCAGTTCAAGAATCTAGAGGGTCGAATTGCAAGATGGATAGCGAGGCTGCAAGAGTTTGACTTCGATATGGAACATCGAGCGGGAAAAGTCCATGGAAATGCAGATGCCTTATCGAGGAGACCCTGTTTAGAGGATTGTAGGCATTGCCAGCGGGCAGAGGAGAATGATGCCCAAGTATTAAGGACCACTATCGTTAGTGATACAAGGGATAATGAAGATCTCATTAAAGACCAAGAGGGCGTCCCCGATCTCCAAATAGTTCTGAACTGGATGAAAGAACAACGGAAACCAGCCTGGGAAGAAGTCGCCAAGTATTCCCCTACCATAAAATCATATTGGGTATAATGGAATTCTCTAGTTATGGACAAAGGACTCTTACTGCGCAAAATGGTGGACCACGACGGAAAAGAGGAGACAAGGCAAATTGTTATCCGCAGATGTCGGATCCCGGAGCTGCTAGAAGAAATCCATTTCGGTGTGTCAGGAGGTCATGTCGGAGTTACAAAAATCCCGGGAAAAGTGAGGGAAGGATTTTACTGGGTCAGTAGCAAGGCGGACGTGAAAGATTGGTGCAGAAAATGCGTTGTGTGTGCGGCAACTAACGGACCGCAAAGGAAACTAAAAGCTTCGATGCGCTAATACAACGTGGGGGGCTCTTTGAAAGGATTGCTACTGATGTGGCGGGATCGTTTCCAGAAAGTGAAGCAGGGAATAAATACATCACAGCAAGTGGGTTGAGTCATACGCTCTGCCAAATCAGGAAGCCTCTACGTTAGCCGATGCTTTAGTAGAGGAATGGAGCAATTCCGAGTCAAATCTGTACCAAAATATCTGTCAAATTCTTGGGATTAAGAAGACCACCCTCATCCAGATGGAGTGGTGGAGCGCATGAATAGGACCATTAACCGGTATTTGGCTGAGGTAGTCTCTAGCCATCAAAGAGACTTGGAGAGTTTTTTTCACCCCTTCTTATTGGCTTACCGATCGTCGATTCATGAAAGCACAGGAGAAACCCCGGCTCGAATAGTTATTGGAAGAGAACTTCGTCTCCCATGTCCTCTAAAGTTTTGGCTGTCCACCAGGAACGTGATCTGCGTAGAAGAATGGACGCCATGCATAGCCAAGTTCGTGTTTCAATTCAAGGTGCCAGCGACTGGATGAAGGAAGCTTATGGCGTTAATGCCAAAGACCAGAGTTATGACAACGGTGATACGGTTTGGCTTTACAATCCAAAGAGCCGAAAAGGGCTGTCGCCTAAACTTCAGTCATCCTGGGATGGGTCATATAAAGTTCTGGAAGCCATCTACAGGATTCAGAAGGCATCACGACGTAAAGCCGGAATTGTTTATTTCAACCCTTATCATGGAAACAACGAGGATGCGGCGGTCAGGAACTGGACATGAGATTTGACCAATTTATGGCCCACCATGCTAATGACCATAAGAGTCGGTATGGCGTAACATGTGAAGTACAGCAAGATCTGTTTACCACTTCAGCAGAGTATGCCCTGGCACACCGTGTGGCTCAAGACTTGCAAATGTCGAGAGGTATAGCAAACGTCTTTCTCAGGAAGTTTGGAAGAGTGCCCGAGCTGCGTCGGAAGTCGGAGAAGTACTCCAGATAATTGAAGAGGGTACCAACCGAAATATCTTTTATCTGGTTACCAGGAAAGCTTCACATCAGAAACCGAATTACGAGGATGTCTGGCGCGCTTTGTGTTCTCTAAGAGACGTGTTGCTTGCTGAGGACCTGGGAAAACTGGCAATACCTAAGCTGGCATGTGGTCTGGACAACTTGGACTGGAGAATTATCTGAATCATGCTTGAGGTAGTCTCTCGGTATCAAGGCATTCGATTTCTGGTATGTTGTCATAGCTCTAGACGACTACCTTCTGGAAAGAGTGAGGATTGTTACTTCTTCAATGTCGATATCGACATCCAGCACCAGTAAGATTATTCCGGGCGGAATGACTTCAGGGGGAGGGGGCAGTGTAACAGGAATGAATGGTACTACAAACGCTATCTGTTGGGAACCTCGCCAGGAACTGTTATTCTGCATCGAAGCGAGATGCGAAACTTGCCTCGAAGGTTCTGGAGTGGTCGCTATGTGAGTTGAAGTGAATAGCGCGACATTGTAATTCATAAGTAGTCAGGCATAAATAGTGGTCTACACAAATGCTCTATCTAGACAGTATGCCTGAAAAGTTCCCGAAAGAAATTCATAAAAAGTACAAACTAAAAGATAAACGAATTTATTCACATCAGCCTTCTACATAGGAACCTTCTCTAGTAATACACTCGTTACAGCGCCGGTAGAGTGCATCGAACGCTCAGAAGAATTCATTTTCCGATATCGCTTTCAGCTCCTCGGTACAAGCTTTCTGGATAGCCGAAATGTCATCAAAAAAATTGTCCTTTCGTCTTCAGTTTCAGCTTGGGGACCCAAAAATAGTCGGCCGGTACCTGATCAGGTTAATAGGGCGGGTGGCATATGACGGTGATTTGATTAGTCGCGTAGTACCGCGTCAGAAGGGTCCCCGGCGCATTGTCATGCAACAGAGACCAGCTGCCCGGATCCCGGTCTCGGGCTAGATCGCACGAATGCGGCGCATCAGGCTTTTCATAACCTCCGAATGGAACGTAGAACTTACAGTCTGCCCAGTCGAAACGAATTCATGGTGAATCAGGCCCTTTGAATCAAAAAATGCGATCAACATTGTTTTCACTTTCGACTTTTGTTGCCTGACTTTCGATGGTCTTTGCACACCTGGACTCAACCAAGCAGCGGATTGACGTTTTGTTTGAGGATCGTACATGAAACACCAGCTTTCATCGCACGTTACAATTGTGTAAAAAAAATTAAGACAAACGCAAAACTTTATCGCACTCACACAGTTTACACGGCTGAATATAACTCGAGACTGGAGTGACCAAACGCGGTGAAATTTGGCACACATACACTTCAGACAATGCGCTACGTAGTTCCGGGGTTGTTTGATAGGTCACGCTGCTTGTATCGAATACAGAAATTCAGTTCGGGAACTTTTTAGACATACTGTTTTAATTCACACCCAAAAGAACCCAGAAAAATACTACAATATGATGGCATAATTGGTGCTGACCTATTAGAACAGTTACAACCCAATATTGATTTTATAAATAAAACGCTAATTACTCTATTTAGAAATCAATAATCCTTTATTTATTTATTTTTTTATTTATTTTATTTATAATAATCCATACACTGCCTGAACAGAGTGATCCGATTAACAGGCAGGGAAAAAACAAAAAATTATACAAAAATAAAACTCTAAACAGTACATGATAAAAAAGACATAAATATAAATTATCCAATTGTTAAAAAACACCTCTTGAGATCGATTTTGGTGGAACTAAAGAAATCGAGTTCACCTACACTGTCACAGACATTACACATAACATAAAGAGGCGAAAATAACAATAAATTTGTCCGCGGAACAGGTAAATAAAATGAGTTGTTACCACAATGACGAGTACGCAAATCGGGAACGCGTAGAGAGATCCAGTCTAGAAGAAAAGAGCAATCAATTGTTCCATTCAACAAATTACATAAAAATTTAGCAGCTAACAGATTCATACGTTTGACTAAATTATGTAAATTATATCTACTTAAGAGAATGTCATTGCGTATACCCCTTTCAGGGTACGCTCTATCATCTTTAAACCATAAGTATTTCACAAAACGACGTTGGATTCTCTCGATGTTTTTACAGTGTATATCATAGGCCGGGTACCAGATAATCGAACAGTATTCTAAAATATCTGACAAAAGCATTAAAAAGTAAAATTAATATTATTGAAATGTCTACTGTTCCTTATAACAAAACCAAGATTTTTAAAGGCTTTTGCTATTATTGCATTAATGTGATCAATAAAAGAAAGCTTTAGATCGAATAATACGCCCAAATCCTTGACGATATTAACACGATAAAGAACATTGCTACCGATTTCAAAATTAAAACATATCGGTTCCACCCTGCGTGTAAACGTCATAGTATTACATTTGTTGACATTCAAGTGCATGTTATTTACCTTACACCAGTGAACAATGACATTCAGATCAGCCTGTAACCTTAAACTGTCTTCTAAGCAGTACACGCTATTAAGGATTTTGAGGTCATCGGCATATAGCAGGTACTCACAACGCAAGTCTGTTGTAACATCATTGATAAAAATTAAAAACCATAGAGGACCCAGAACAGAACCTTGGGGCACCCCTGATGTAGCTAAAACTGCACCAGACTTATATCCGCGGAAGTCCACACATAATTGTCTATCACTGATGTATGAATGAAAGACAGCTGATGTTAAACCGTACTTAGACAACTTCTACAGTAGAACACCGTGATCTAAATGGTCCAAAGCTTTCGAAAAGTCAGTATAGACTACACCAACTTGCCCGCCATTATCCAAAACTGACGCGGAGTACTGCTTAAAACATGCCAGATTACTACACGTAGATCTACCCTTATAAAAACCATGCTGACTCGTCGATTTTGACCAACTTGCATGGGAGAACAGAATATCAAAAAGAAAAAGCTCAAAATTTTTGGCAATATTACTTAAAATAGCAATAGCCCTGTAATTCTGTACCAGCGATCGATCGCCTTTCTTAAAAACAGGTGCTATTTTAGACAATTTCCATTTTCTAGGAAAGGTGGCAGATTTCAAGGACAAATTGAAAAGATATGTCAAAGGCTCAGCAAGAACACACGCAGCAGTCTTTTAGAAAAAACGAAGGTATGGAATCCAAGCCAGTGGAACATTTAGGCTTTAACCGTTTTATTGCATTCCGTACATGCTCCACATTAATAGTCACTATAGGGAGATACGATATATTTTCTGCAACGGAACAATCAGCGAATGGTTGAGAGGACGTGATATAGGTGTACTGGAAATACTTGGCAAAAGTATCAACAATTTCCTGTGGATTCCTGAACTTCTCATTTTCCAAAGACATATTGTTGGGTATGCCTGATCTGTTGCTGCACAAGGACCAAAACTGATTGCGCAAGGGCACGCTCAGTTCTCGCAACAAAATTAGAAAACGCCCAAGTCTATATCGATTTTGATGGCTCTTGGCAAGTTACTGAGAGCTTCATAGTCAGATCTAACCAAAGTTCTCTTATATCGCTTCCAGAGGCGATGTTTTTTGATATTTTAAGGATTATTGCACGAGAAAACCAGAGATGGTATCTGTTATCCTTTGGTAATGTGCATGGAACAGCGTTATACAATTTATTATAAAACAGGTCACAAGCAATGTTAATGTCGAGGATGTCAGATGGAAAAGAAAAATCTGAATCCATAATATTGGTGTAGAGCGCAAGAAGATCTACTCTCCTAAGGTTATATTGCAGATTATTATTATTTGGGCGTAACTTATTCAGAGAACGCGGAAGTGAAAAGAGCACTTCTATAGGAGGATGGTGTCTGTCCACTGGTAAAAGAATATCAGATGCATTTCTTACATTAACAGAATTATTACAGAAGACTAAGGCCCAATTTCACCAGCATTAATATTATGGACCAATGGGAAAATGCCTTATCGAAATGCAATTTGGCAGAATCTACCAAATTTCTCTGAATATCAGTGATTTCTATTAGAATATTGAATAAAATCATGAATATTCGACTGTATTATAAACAAGACCACTTTTTGATTCCAACATGATGCTTTTGTATAGAAAAAACAGGACAACATTCATGTATTTTGAATTATGTTATACGTTTATATTTGACAATCCGTTATCCCTTCAGCGCCCCTACAAAAATCCAACCCGTACGTCCTCGAGTTCGTTCTGCGGGGCGGCCTTGGGCGCTGAATCGTGTGCGACCGTGTAGGGGGGGCAACGGGGTGCCGGTCTTGCGGTGGACCGCCTCGATTAGTTTTTGAGGAGACCCGCCGGAAAGCCGGTAGCCTGGCCAATCGAATGATTCGTTGAGCCACAGGTGTCTCGGATGTATATCTGGGACGCCTGCAGCACAACGGTCATCATGGGCAATGGTACGTTACCCAACCCAAGGTGTTAAGCGATTCCGTGCCGAGGGGTGCGTGGCGGTGGGGATGCACCGTCTTAAGCGGAGCCTCTGGGACACCGGGCGACCTCCCAGAGTATCCAGCCTTGCGTCCGTGTAGGGGCACCGCGGACGTCGATCACCACTTCCCCTATACTCGTGGGAACATTATGGAACCAAACGATAGCAAAAATAATAAAAAACCCGAGGCCCCCCCTACAGGGGACCCCGAACATCCAGGCGACCACTCACCAGGGGACCCTGATCGTACTCTGACAGAGGAATCTGTCAGAAGCTTAGCGAGAGAGCTAGCGGAAAGGGTGGGCTCTCTAAAGATTAAGAAGAAGTCTCGGCCAGGTTCCGAAAGGAAAAGGGCTCGGAAGCAGAGAGAGGCGCAGATGACGGAGGGCTCGGAAGGTCGGGGCACCACTTCTGGGACCCCGGCTGGACGGACCCAACCGCCATCTGGGCTAGACGGTGCGCAATCCGGTGTGTCAGCGGAGACCCTAAAGCGGCCCGGTGACGGGAAGCGGCAGAGGTCTGCCGGTGGGACACCGGAGGGCGCATCCTCGCGGAAGAAGCCTCGCACTGCGACGCATGCGCAAATTAGTTATGCGCGCGCGTCCCAAGCGGGTCTCAGGGTGGCCGTCGTGTCCGACGGTTATCCTGGGACTCAACTTACTAATGTACAGGTGCAGCAGGTCCAGGAGGCGGTCAGTGTGCTGATAGATGGGATCCCAGATGAGGTGACCCTTCCCAGGTACATTGACTGCTACCTCTCTCGAGGGGCAGCCATCTTTGTCTGCGAGGACGAATCCTCTAGGGCATGGTTGGAGGCCCACGTGGGGGATCTGCGGCCGTGGGAAGGCGCAAGGCTCATTACGATGAGCTTTGGAGACCTTCCCATATACCACCGCGTGATGGCCTGGTTTCCGGGTCCCAACCTGGACAACGAGGTCATCACGAGGAGACTCAGGAGGCACAATCCTGGGACTTTTCCCAGCGCGTGGAGGCTACTTGAGAGGAAGGAAGAGCCGATAGGTGTCCGACTTGTCCTCTCAGTTGATTCCATAAGCTGGAAGGTCATTGTAGGTAACGGCAACAGGCTGTGTTGCGGTGGAAGTTCGGGGGTGTTTACACTCCTGAGCAAGAAGAAGAGCAGTGGAGCGACACCTGCTGAAACTGGCCTGGCTCCAAACCAGGAGTCGGACCAGCCCAGACCGACGGGAGCTGTGTCGGTAGACCAGGCTCCTTCACAGGGGATGGGTCGGCCGGGTCAGCTCTCGCTGGAGCCACCGGAGGCTACGGACGTGGAGGCGGCGGGTCCAAGCGGGATATCCGCAGAAAACATCGTGGCGGACCCTGCGATGGATCCGGTCCCAGAGGGAAACGATAGCGACTCGGACGAGGATGG